GGAAAAAAACCTATTTCAACCTTCGTGAGGTAAATTCCACAAAATTTATACATTTGTAAAAAATGCAAATCTAACTGGTAATTCTATACCTTGTGTTTTGGGTCCCGGTGACCAATGAGATTCCTTTCCTAGTTCAGTTTGATACATGTTTCTGTACCTGAGTGACACGAGTTGATGTTATGGTTTTTTGAGTGAGAGGAGAGTTTCAAATGATGGCAAAGCTTTGTTGAACACAAGCATCTTGTTAAAAATTTTGTTTGGAAATCTGTCTTAATAATTGAGGTACCACTCTATGTTACCATATTTATGTTTTTTCAAATATTTATGAATTGATTCTTCTCAGTGTGACACACAAATTTTTCTCACTGTTTGCTAATAACAGTCTCTTAATACCTGATAACAGTGTCCTCCTAATACCATGTAACATGCTGTTCAAGATGGGATTCACCTTCAACAGCTAAATGAGAATGAAATTTCAATGTTTCTGAAGATAATAGTGAAATCCTATACCCCTTTGACAGCAGGAACCTTTCTTTAAGCAGATTAAAGTCGAGTGTTTTTACTGGAGTATTCTGTATAGTTTATTGCAATGAACATCTAGTTTGTAAATAGTGACCCTGTGCCTGGAAAGCCTACAGACAAAGACAGAACATTTTTGACTAACCATTAGAAGGTGTGACAGAAATTCTCTGTGACCAAACACTGTTGTGCCAGATGTCATGTCAGCATAAGTCACATATTTAACCAAGTCCTTTTGACTGAAAAGAATTATAAACACTGCATGGATCAACAAATCCAACCTGATGTGTTTGACACAGAAAAATTCTGCACTACATATTTTGTACCCAAGTTGTTTGACATATTTAACAAAAAATACATTAACTCTGGTGCACTGAAAACATTCAAGTTTATTGAAATAGTCCCAAATCACCACAACAGTTGCCTCAAGGTACTTTATAATCAAAGTATAGACCCTACAGTATTTGGGATAAAATCCTACAATAAGGCAATCCACTATTAAAACACTTGTGGGAAGAAAAAACTCCCTTCTAACAGGAAGAAACCTCCAGCAAAACCAGCCTCAGGGAGGGGGCAACTGTCCGCTGCAGCTGGTTGGGATTGAGAGAAAAGAAAAAGAGCATATTGGGATTGGACAGAACACACACTATGGGGAAGAGACTGCACAAATCAGGCCTTTATGGTCAAATAACTGCTAAGAAACCAATACTAAGGAAAATCAGCAAGCAGAAGAGACTTGTTTAGGCCAGGAAACACAAGGAATGGACATTAGACCAGTGAATATCTGTGCTTTGGTCTGAGGAGTCCAGATTTGAGATCTTTGGTTCCACCCTCCGTGTCTTTGTGTGATGCAGAAGAGGTGAATGGATGGTCTTTACATGCATGGTTCCAACTGTGAAGCATGGAGAAGGAGGTGTGATGGTGTGGGGGTGCTTTAGTGGTGACACCGTTGGGGATTTATTCAAAATTGAAGGCACACTGAACCAGCATGGCTACCACAGCATCCTGCATGCGACATGCCATCCCATCCAGTTTGTGTAGTTGGACCATCATTTGTTCTTCAACAGGACAATGACGCCAAACACACCTCTGGGCTGTGTAAGGGCTATTTGACCAAGAAGGAGAGTAATGCTGTGCCAGGCGGCCTGGCCTCCACAGTCCCCTGACCTAAACACAATCAAGATGGTCTAGGACAGTTGTTCACAAACTGTGGTACGCATACCAATGGTGGTACTTGGGCTCCTTCTAGTGGTAAACAGGAAGTCTCCAGATTAAATAATGTACCGTGTTCTGGCTGAGAGATTTCTAAAAAATTAAACAGCTCTGCTATCACTTCCAGCATAAATTAAGACAGGAAACTAAACCGAAATGGCGTTTGTAAGGCTACTGAAGTTGGGCTAGCTGGTATATAATTATGTGCTACAGCTGTGTTAGCATAATATGGACACAGTGAAGCTGGAGGATGAACGCCAACTTTTTTCCACTCGATAAAAGTTAACGTGAGCGTTCCCGATGGTTAGGAACAAATGATATCGCATGGCAGGATGCTGTAAACGTACCAAACTTCAGTTAGGAGGACAACTGAGATAATCCATCCACAATACGAGGTTAGTCATTAATATACTGCTGGGCTGGGCTGTAGTTACATTGTAAGGTTTGAAAAACTGAACTTTAAAATGAACAGTGGTAATAGCAACCGAGAGAGGCTGACAGTGATCACTGCCTTGTTTTAGGGGCTTGTTTGGATTAAATAGAACAAGATACAAAGCATTAAAATATGTTAAAAACACAACAGCCCTGATAAACTCAGAGTAGTTTGTTCATATGTCAACAGTTAAAGATCATATTTCCCACCCGCTGGATTGTTTTAATGCAGTACAGTTGTTATTATTTCCACTTATCACGTCCTGTTTATGACAGTTAAAATAAATAACATTTATATAAGAAATAAAATTGTCTCATGTAAGCTGTATATGGTGTTAAATAGACCTATACTACTGTACTTTAATGTCGGTCATGAGCGTAGTACTTTAAGAGCCATATATTTTATGAGGTGGTACTCGTGAAAAGTTTGAGAACCATTGGTTTAGGATGAGATGAACTGGAGAGTGAAGGCAAAGGGCCACCAAGTGCTCAGCATCTCTGGGAACTCCTTCAAGACTTTTGGAAAACCATTTCAAGTGACAACCTCATTACGGTCATTGAGAGAATGCCAAGAGTGTGCAAAGCAGTAATCAAAACAAAGGGTGGCTATTTAGAAGAATCTAAAATATAATACATGTTTTGAGTTATTTCACACTTTTTGTTTACTACATTATTCCATATGTGTTCATTCATAGTTCTGATGCCTTCAGCGAGAATCTACAATGTCATAAAGAAAACCCATTAAATGAGAAGGTGTGTCCAAACTTTTGACTGGTCACTCGCAGGGCGTAGGTGTTGTTTGGCTGGATTTTGTTCTTTTCATTCAGCAGGATTTCCTTACCCTCTGCAGGTACTTGGTGGTTGCAGCTTTCCTAGCGGCCTCTTCGTGGATCCCATTTGCCGTGGGATTCCCAGGTACTTGTAGCCGTCCTGGATGACTGCAATGCTGCCTTCTGGTAGTGTAAGCCCCTCAGTTCTGACTAACTTCCCTCTCTTTGTTGCCATGCGACTACAATTCTCCAGTCTGAATGACATTCCAATGTTGTTGCTGTATATCCTCGTGGATCAGTGAATCGATGTTTCGTTCACACCTGGCATACAGCTTGATGTCATCCGTCACTTGGTGTTCGCTCTCTCTGCAGTAGAATATCACTTCCTGTTCCTGTCACAATACACAATGGTGTTTTTGTGTAGCTTACCTGCATAGTAATTTAATAAAGAACTTTTAGAAAACTTTTTATTTTATAGTGTAATCTTCATGTGCTTCATCTGAAGCGCACTCTCCGTGTATTCACTTGCTAATTTATGGTCACAGTATTCACTCACTGTGTCTTTCACTAGCTTAGCTGGTAGCTGACTCGCTAGCAGCATGGCCTTTCCACCTGTCCCTCCTGCACTTTCCTGCTCATTGCGTCAGATGTTTAGTTACTCCTCGGCCTCCCTTAGCAGTATTGATACTTGTAATAAATGTAGCCTATTAGCAGCTCTGGAGGCCAGGATCACTGAATTTGAGACTCGGCTTTGCACACTTGAAAAACCTGTAGCTAGCCCAGCTAGATGACCCCCGGTAGACTGTCACGAGCAGCCGGGGAAACAGGATGCCTGGGTGACGGTGAGGAGGAAGCGTAGTCCTAAACAGAAGCCCCAGGTACACCACCAACCTGTTCGTGTCTCTAACCGCTTTTTTCCACTTTTACAGCAGTAATGACACCCAGTTACATCAATCAGTGTTGAGTAAAATCAAAGCTGAATCGGTGTGCAACTTGGCCAAAACAATGTTGAACTCTGTAGCTTTCTCTGGTCCACTCCCCAATCGGACCAGGAGAGACATGTTTACCCGCATGTTCTTCTTAAATTGCTGGCTAGGGATGGGTATTGATAAGATTTTCACGATTCCATTTTTGATTCTGTTTAACAATTCGATTCTTTATCGATTCTCTTATCGATTCTTTTTAAAAAAGGAGAACACTAAGGTCAAGTAGCTTAGAACTTTGTTTTATATCTATGTTCTCTTTGAACAAGATAGAAATTTAGGAGTAGCATGGCCTTATAAACCCAACAGTGAGATCTTAAGAGATCCTTGAGAGATCCAGCCTACGGCTCTTCAATGGGGTGTCACAAGGTCCCTGGGGAAAAAATGGTAAATGTAAAATAATAAAATAAATATTCTTCTGTAGCAATAACAAAGTATAACATAAATTATTCTGTAGCAATTACACAAGAATATCCAGTAATGTCCCTGCCTACAATTAAACACATTCACTTACCGAAAATCGGGGGCATCTGCTGTGGCAAATGGGTGCAAGCCTTTTACCACAAACTTAGTCACTGCTCGGTGACATTCGTCTATCCTGGCCTGAAAGGAGACGCTACCGGTAGACTGCAGCGAGAACTGCCAGCATCTGAGCCAGACTCTGTCTGTCTCTCTCATCATGGTCACCTAAATGCACAGTAATGGCAGGTTTTGTAATAAGGCAGATCGCGCTAACATAATATGCACTGTTAGTTGATTATTTACCTGCCGCATTAACGGGAGAGGACGTGCAAACGTTACCGCTGCTGCTGGGTTGAGATTCACGAGTCCGGAGCGGAATTAAAAACACGACATTCATTTAAGGTCATCGCGTGTTTTGTGAGCAAATGCTTTTGCATATTCGTAGTGTTTCCTCCCTTAAATGAAATATCTACTTTGCAAGTATTGCAAGTTGCCCTGTTGTCATCCGTTCTCGTAAAGTATAACCAAACTTTTGAGCGTTTGAGCCGCCATGTTTCCTGCCAGGTAAATGATGCTCCGCAACGTGGTGACGTCATTCGGGGCGACTGGAATCAATAAGGGAATCGTTTGCAAAAATGGCAAACAATTCCAAGGAATTGAAACAGTGGGAACCGGTTCTCAACAAGAACTGGTTTTCGATACCCATCCCTATTGCTGGCTGTCTTAGTGGGGTCCAAAAAACGATGTGGGCTTTATAGATAATTGAGAAACTTTCTGGAGGAAACCTGGTCTTGTTGGGAGAGACGGCATCCATCCCATTTTGGATTTCTAGAAATTTATTAAACCCCCTAAAACGTGAATTTCCAGAGTTGGGACCAGGCAGCAGAGTTGCAGTCTTACACATCTCTCTGCAGCTTCTCCCCTCCTGTTATTCTCCCAAAACCTCACTCTCTTAGAACGTCTAACTATTCATCATTGATTGAAGAAAATAAGAACACCCCTAGGTTTCGCTTCAGCACTGTAGCCAGGCTGACAGAAAGTCAGAGCGCTCTCAAGGAATTATAGATGGGAAACATCCCTCTTATGGGACACTCCCAATAGGGCTTAAAATCTGGGACTATGCACCATTTGCTCTTAGAACTGAAGAAGCTTCTCAGATAGAGGTGAAACATCTTCAAGAAACTTAAAGAAGTCCAGTCGCTTTTCCAAGATCCTTAGATCAGTGGAAGGAATGTTTTGTTACTCATCCAAGTGACTTATTCAGTCTCAGGTGAATGGAGATTTCCCCAACCTTATAAACAGTACATTTTCATCATTTATGAATAGCAGATGTGTTGATGCATGCTCAAAGTTGAAGCTTCAAAATGCAGAGTTCTCAAGCAGTGGGTGAAATCAAGCTAGTTGCATCTACCTTTCAAAAACAAAAGCTTTTTTCCAAACAAAATGGGAAGATGTAGTAATCCTACATCTTCCCATTTTGTTGTATGACAACTGGCTCCTGAACATTGATTAGTTACAAACAACAGACACAGCTCTTTTATTGGTCAGGAGATATTTTGGAGCATTTCTGCTCTTTCCTTTTCATTTAATCTGCTTTTGCTGTTCCTGAATGTAGTGATGGAGCTCCTCTCTGCAGTTAATAGACTGTTGTGCTACCTAGCTACGTACCATTACTCAGCATATTAAATAACAGGTTAAAATATTTCAAATGAATACCTTTTCGTTTCTGTCTATATACAGGTATTTGAACTGTTGTCATAGATTTCTACAATAGTAACCAGTGGACTGGGACGGTGCACGTTTCTGTGATTTTGTTTGATTGGTTGATGTTAAGATACTTATAAATTAATGCCAGTTTTATCCTTCTATAAGCATAGAGATATTTTTTCTTTTCTGGTCTAGAGAGCCATGTTGACAGTGTGGTCAGTAAGGTAGTAAGCCAGGAAACGGTTGCAAGAAAGCAGCGTTTAATGCAGAAATAGAACTACTCTGCTTTGCCACACTGTAACTCTCCAAGCAGGAGGAACTATATACGTGCTGAGAATGAAAATCTGTCTGCCTTGGATGCTTCAGAATGCTTGCTTGATGCTGACAATGCTCTTAGAATGACTCAGAGCAAGTGCAGGAGGCTAGTGTGGGAGGGAGGAAAAGGAACCGTCACTCAGCAGATTTTCTTTACAGGGAGGGAGGTGCAGCTGAAGGGAATCCTGCTGTTTAGCCAACCCTATCCCTCTAAGTTCATTGACAGTCAGTGACATCGCTTCATTTCCATGCTGCTACTCTGTCCTCTATTGGCGGAGACCCACATTCTGTGGTGAAGCAGTCAGACCTGCTTGTATGGTCTGCAGTGATTGGCCAGGCTGGGCTGCAGTGAGGTTGCAGGTTTTGGAGGCTCTCACTGCTGCATTTCCCTGGCTGATGATACTGAAACTAGCACAGTGGCAAATCCTCACTGTGTGTTGCTGATTCTATTGCATTATCAGCATCAAGAGAAAAGATTTTTTGTCTGCATCTAACGATTTGATGATCCGTGAAGTAACTGCGCCTCAGAAGCAGTGTGGTAAGAGTTAGATGGGAGAACTTGGATTTGTACTGCTGCAGCTGATGCTGTGATCCTGAGCCTGGACATTTTAATAAGGAAAAAGATGCACTTAGAATATGAGGCACTGAGTCTGAGAAGTGAGTGAAATCCTTTCTGCAGCCCCATGCTGTCTTTAGCTAGCCTTTCCACACTTGTAATACTAGTTCACCTCTCTGCATTTTGCAAGACCTATACTGTTGCCGTTGCTTTTGGTCTGAGTGCAGTCACCCAAATAGTGTGGGAGAGCCAGTTTGAGGATGCTGCTGGACATACTGAGCTTTCTATACCAGAGACTTTTTGGCAGGACACAATGTAAGCCTGCTGAAACCCAGCTGCCAGGAGAGAAACAGTCTGAGACTACAAACAACTGCAGAGAGCTACAGGCAAGTCTTCAGGAAAGCACTAAAGAGTCCTCTAATGGTAAAGAAATCAGCAGGAATAATGTTACTCCAAAGAAGACCATGGTATTAATCATGATGGCACCACCTACAGATCTTCAACAGGTAGGATAAAGCTGGTAGAATAAGGTCTGTTTTTTAGACCTGTATAGCCCTTAGTGAGAGTTACTTCACCGTTCAACTTTCTAATAATATTAAATAGAGACCTTCAAGACTGAAAAATAAACCCACTGTAGTCCCCCAAAATGCAGTTTCTCTTAAGAACACTTGGGCTGACTACCAACCATGATTTTGGTGTGCGTGTGTGTGGGCGTGTGTTAGTTAGTTTTCCTTTCTAAACAACTATAATGAGGGTGGATTTGTTTGAATCACAAATTTATACTTAGAACTTATATCACTATGACAAATATTATGCTTCTTTGTGGTAAAAACCAACCATGAGGTCTGTGCTTCAGTTTTGATGATTGAAATTCTTGCATTGTAATAGTCTGTTACTTGATACACTAGTAGGTATCAGAGTCTGCAATAGCAGAAAAGTACAGTTAGATGGATGCAGTTTAGAAATAAAGTCATTCTTATATGATCTTAGACTTTCTTTTTTTATTGTAAGGTAGACCCTACAATAATACATACAGAGAAAAACGTTGGCAACAGTGGGAAGGAACAACTCCCTTTTAACAGGAAAAAACCTCCGGCAAGTATGATTCAATGCAGAGGGGTCTATTAACACACAGTGAGTGAAACAGGTGACTGAAGAAGAAATACATCAGTGTGCATCATGGGAATCCCCCATTGCAGCGTAACTAAGGCAGGATTCAGGGACACCTGATCCAACCCTAACTATATGCTTTAGCAAAAAGGAAAGTTTTAAGCCTAATCTTACAAGTAGAGATAGTGTCTGTCTCCCGAATCCAAACTGGAAGCTGGTTCCATAGAAGAGGGGCCTGAAATCATTCTACTTGTAAATACTCTAGGAACAACAAGTAAGCCTGCAGTGCGAGAGTGAAGTGCTCTAATGGGCTGATATGGTACTATAAGGTCATTAAGATAAGATGGGGCCTGATTATTCAAGACCTTGTATGTGAGGAGCAGGTTTTTGAAATCAATTCTAGATTTAACAGGGAGCCAATGAAGGGAAGCCAATATAGGATAAGTATGCTCTCTCTTTCTAGGCCATGTCAGCACTCTTGCTGCAGCATTTTGGATTAACTGAAGGCTTCAGGGAGTTTTTAGGACATCCGGATAATAATGAATTACACTGGTCCAGCCTAGAAGTAATAAATGCATGAACTAGTTTTTCAACATCACTCTAAGACAGGATATCTATGAATCATTCAAGCATTAAATCATTAACACAATTGACTGGAGTTGGTTTAGAAAGTTTAATATGTAACAATGACCTCTGCCAATCAACAGTGCCAATGGAAAAGTGAAGATAGGAGTGCAGGCAGGGTGGAGTGGGTGGAGGCAAGTGTCACAGCTGACTTTTTGACAGAAGAATAGCAGCAAGAGTGCACAGTGAAGATTTCGTCAAAACAAAAGTGAAATCCAGGAAGGAGCAGGTGTACATATGAATCCTTATTCAACAGGTGTGTGATGGCCATATGAACCATTGTTAATGAAGGGTACCGTCTGTGGAGCAGAACACAATGATGCTATCTGCAAGAGGCGCATAAATCTGCCTCACAGAGGCAGCATCACTTTGTGTGGTTTTCTGTGATGGTTTGTGATATTTTAACAGGGCCTACCATTGCTTTCAGCTCAGATGGAGCTATTATGGTTGCTGCGTCATCATCCAGCACTGGTGAATTACACCCCCATTGGGCTGTTAATTTCCCACTTCTTGTCTTAAAAGACCTCATACTACCATATCACCCCAGTAGAGCACTTTGTTCTCAGACTGCTGGCTTACTTGTAGTTCCTTGGATATTTAAAAGTAGAATGGAGGCAGAGCCTTCAGGTTTTAGACTCCTCTTCTTCCCCTTGCCTCCAACCGGTTACAGCAGATGACTTCCCCTCCCTGAGGTTTTCGTTCCTGTTAAAAGGGAGTTTTTCCTTTATTTTTCTAATATGAAGTACCTTGATGATTTAGCCTACTGTAATTGTCACCATAAGTATATGGATATCACTTTAGATAAAAAAAATTGTCTCTTTTCCTTTTTCTGTAGGTCAGGGTATAATAAGTTCTTTTTTATAGTCCTCTATAAAGTTTCATTTCAGTATGTCGAAATCTCTGATGATCATGTGATTTTCAGTAAAAGGAGATACCCTGGTCAAATTGCTCTTCTGTGTCATAGCATGATCTCAATAAGATGTTTTTGCTGATTTAAAAAAAAAATCTAACTTCATTTCGTTGTTTCACTTCATTCTTAGCATATTAAAACTTCATGATGGTTCAAGTAGACAGTTTCAGTATATCTTTTTGTGTGATGGTTGACCCCCCTTTCCTAATAGGAGGTGTCATCCATTCTTCTGGTACCCATTACCTGACAGTAGATGGCATTTAATTGTGTTTCGGTTAAAACTGTTTCCTTGCAACCTTTTCAGTTGACCTGACAAGCTTTGGTAGCACTAAGCACCCTGGATAGTCTTAAATATATAGTAACCTGAGATGTGTGGTGGTTGTAAAATACACTACACTCCAAATCAAGTCAACAAAGCACAGATGGTACGAGGTAGGGGATTGTACACCCTAACCTCGACTGCTGTTTGTCAAATCACTCTTTCCACACAGATAATGCTATACTATTAGAGTGTGTCATTACTTAAATGAGCTGGCATCTAAATGATTTCTCTTTGTTCACAGAAAATAGTGAAAGCCGGAGACAAAGACCTGGATGGACAGTTGGACTTTGAGGAATTTGTCCATTATCTCAGAGACCATGAGAAGAAACTCCGACTGGTCTTCAAGAGTTTGGACAGGAAGAATGATGGTAAGGCAGTTTGTTAGAAATAGAATGCCTTTTATTGTCACTATACACATGTACAATGAGATACAGAGCATCTCCTACTTAGTGCAGACATGTGGGAAACGAAAGGGGACGAGGTGCACAGTTCTGCAGTGCCATATACATATGAACAGTATTCAAAAAATATCAAATGTACAAATATACAAATCGGGGGGGGGTTTAATTGTGTTGTCTGTTTACAGTGTGGGTTATTGCATGTAATTGTAATGGTAGTTGTGTAGTCTGTGTATAGAGGGAAGTTCTTAGATTGGGGGGTGGAACTGTGTTGTCAGTACATGTGAGTTCAGGGTGGTTATGGCTTTTGGGAAGAAACTATTCTTGAGTTAAAAGTTAAAGCAGAGTTTGAAGCATTTTCGGAGCAGTGCCAACAGCTCCTTCTGTGGTCATAGTTCGTAAGTATTGGATTCTTAAACCAGAGTGCTGAGCCCATGCTTGTTTTTGAATAACTGATAGGAACAGATGGTTTCTTTTAGACTTGATCTTAATCCTAAAGAAATACAGAAGACATAGGATTGTGAATGAATTTGAATTGATTTTAATGTCTGTGAGAAATCGTTGCAGTATCCATGGCTAATAACTTCTTGTGTTGCAGGTCGAATTGACTCACAAGAAATCATGCAGTCTCTGCGTGACCTGGGAGTGAACATCTCTGAGGAACAGGCAGAGAAGATTCTTAGAAGGTTAGATAATGCTGTCATCCACTGAACACATATCTATCAAAATGGTTAGACAGCATCATTTTTTTGGGGTGTCACATTTGTGGTAATAAAGTTAGCGGCACTGTTTTCTTTAGCCTCTTTGACACGTGCACGTCTTGGATTAACTGTGTCAGTAAATGGTAATTTAACTTTTCATCATCACATCTGAAGCATCCCATTTCTGTCAAGAAAAGTACAGACAAAGATCTGCACATTTTTGTGTCCAGTCTAATTCCTGCAGTGTTGGGTATTTCAGGAGGTTACTGTCAGTGCACACCTGGGACATCAGCCTCTCCTTTACTGATAATTTCAATTAGAGCTGGGCGATAGAACGATAACGATATGTATCGCGATATAACTTTTACTCGATAGAGAAATTAAGCTATCGCGATAGACCTCGCCGCTCTTGTCCTCTTAAAAAATAAATAAATAAAAGGTCAGCCAATCCAAATTAAGTAGCGCAGAGCCGAACCAATCACAGCCGCAGCGTCACGTCGCGTGACTTGTTACGTACAGCACAAGTGCCAAGCCGCACGTGTGTTTGTTTGGGAAGCAGCCAGCGGGTAATGGAGGAAATGAGTGTGCCGACTAGAAAAATCAACCGAGCGTGACCGAAGAGAAAACAGATGATGGTTCCAACGCCGGAGAGATTGTCGAACGGAAGAGCCATAGAAGTTCCGTAGTGTGAAGGTATTTCGGCTATTTCAAGTCTGACAAAAAACAGAGTAGCGTGCACTGTAAATTGTGCCGAAAGCAAGTCTGGAAATACAATAAACTGGTGCATGCGTCACACTGTGCGCCACGTTATTGTTTCGGTGAAATGAATTTCTACAATACTGTTACTGTTAATTCTACTCTCTGCAGTGTTTAAATGCTTACATATACACACAGTTACTGTCTCCACACATACGACTCGGTTCTGCTTCTATGCCCCAGCTTTGTTTACTTTTTCCCACCGAGGCTTCTAGACTTCTGATTGGCCAACATTTCTGCACGGTTAGGAATCTAGCGCCACCTGCTGCTTTGGCATGTTCATAGCAGCGTTTTCCTTCATTTCTGCCTTTATGTGTGGACGGGATTATTTTTTAAAACGAAAACGGAAAATCTCCGTTTTCAAAAATACCCGTGTACGTGTGGACGTAGCCTCAGTCTCTGACTGGAAGCGCTAATTCGTCATTCGGCTTTTGTCAGACTAAAGTAACTGTTAAAACTGTTTGAAAAGCTCAGCTATACAACAAGGAGAGATTGAGAATTTCCTTTTAGTTCTCAGTTTATTTGATATTGACAAAAGTTAGTCAGTTTTGTCTGTTCTTCTGTAAAACAAACTAAGATTTATTTTTAGAATTAATATTTTGTTTCTAAGTGGAATTGACAATTTAGTCTGTTTTGTTTGTTCTATTTTGAAACTTAAACGCTTTAGCGGCTGCCTTTTGTGTAGTTTGCAATATTTGCCTTTATTTATCTGAAAAAGTCTCATGTTCCTTAAGTACATCTACCCTGTTGAACTTATTATGGGAAATAAATATTTAAATAAAAACAAGCTGCTGATTATTTCACATTTTACTTGTGAGCAACGGCACATTTAAATCTTACAAATATAGTTATTTGGCTTATATCGTGATAGATATCGTTATCGCCTGAAATGAAAAAAACATATCGTGATATGAAAAAATCTCATATCGCCCAGCTCTAATTCAATCTCTTCTGGGAACGCAGTCAGTTATTCAGATACAATGGCATACATCCAATTGGACTTTGAACAAAACTTTTTTCCTTCAATACTTCTGGTATTATCTACTCATGCATTCCTGTCCTTTGAACTACTCACAGTTTACAGTTGCTAATATATCACTATATAACTTTCCCAAACCGCTCTCTCATAATACAATAAAAATTAACAAGAGACCAGTCACCTACAAACCAGCAAGCAGACCTCTAATACACACTGCTTTTGTAGACCTTATTGGAACACATCACCCATGAGGCATCCAGGAAGCATCCTTATCAGATGCCTGAACCACCTCGACTGGCTCCTTTTAATATGGAGGACTCTATCTCTAAGGGAGAGGCCAGCCACCCTTCTGGGAAATTTCATTTCAAGCTGGTCCATTTACCACAATGGACCAGTACAACACTGCAGCTTGTCGATTGATGGTATGATCGCCTGTCGATCTCCCACTCCCTGTGAACGAGACCCCGAGATACTTAAACTCCTCCACTTGGGGCAACAACTCGTCCCTGAACCAAAGTGAGCACTCCACCCTTTTCTGGCTGAGGACCATGGCTTCAAACTTGGAGGTGCTGATTCTCATTCCCGTGAGGAACGAGGTCAAATTCCTTTTCCAAGTGATATACAGTATGACAATGTCTAAAGCGGAACAGGCAGGAAAGGGAAAAAGATGAAAGATGTAATAAAAGGGCAAAGAGAAATACAACTAGAACACACACAGTACAAAGAAATGCACAATATATCACCAACTGCTGCACCTGTAAGATAAACAAACATACAGCAACTGGAACACAAAAATTCTGAAGTGCACAGGAACATAAATCAACAATCTTCGTGACTTTTTCACAAAATGTACTTAAAAATGAACCCACAATAATGCCCCCCAGAAGCCAGAGGCAGATAGAGATGAATCAAGGACAACTGGGCCATCCACAGTCCCCAAAAGTACTGAAGACCTAAGGCCACAAATCTCTGCGATATCTGCGTTCCCATCCTAGCATGAGATGGAGTAAAACCCTATGTGGGGTGCCCACGGTCAAAGGGTGGGAGGGGGCAAACATTCTCTCCAGACTGATGTGTTGTGTATCTGCTTCCATATCTTGTTAACTTATGTCACTAAAGATTCACCGCTTGTGTGAGGTTTGGGATACAGCAGCTAAACCATGTGAATAGGACCTCTGGACAGGCATGTAATACTATATAGCATGAATATAGTTTTCAACAGAGTTGTCTTTGCAATGGGTGCATATACTTGAGTGTGTACCAGCCATTTGGAACAACCTTTATTCTGTGTTGTGTTCTGTAGACAATTTTGTATAAGTTCTAAGTTGAGGCTTTTAGTCATTTTGAAGGTGTTTAAGCATATTTGTGTCCAGAAGTTTTGATCTGGATTGATGGAAAGATGTTCTGATTTTCATCCCTTTTTCATGCCACAATGAAAAATTTTGTTTTTTCTTTTTCAATTTACAATGTTTTTCACCCGTGAAGTGTAGTTTTGGTCTTTTGCTGCTGGTTCAGTATATTTTGGTCGGAGTGATGAAACCTGCAGTTTGAAATTCTGTGAGATGCTTTCAGCAACCGATGGCATGTCCATGTATGTGCCATGGGGTGAACGGAAAGATCCACGCTTTGTGTTTACATCTTTTTGCGGAATCTGTTTACCTGCTCTTTAATTGTTTGCTGTTTTAGCTGTTTGGTGGTTGTTGAAATGGTTTTGTGAGCTTTTAACTGAGATTCTGACTTTTCTGTGGATACCACACATGTCTATATTTAAATAACAGATCTGGTGGTACACCCCGATAAAGCAGATGTTCTCCCTCTCACCTCCAGTACTGGTGGCGTTGGGCTTCAACAAATTAATTATTTATTGCCTCTTACTTTCTGTAGTGTGAATGGCCATAAGGGGTTTTTAATCACTAGGAAAAGCTGCAAAACTTATGAAAATACAGTAAAGTCCAAAATTTCTGCTTATGCGGTTATGTGGTGAGCAGCAGATCAAACAAGTTAAGAATTATAAATGGCTTCAAGGGCACATTCGGACCTCTGAGACTCATTTAGACACATGCAGACATTTCTGCATCTCTGTCATTCAAAGAAACTTTGTAAATAGTTTATTTTATGCAATATTGAATACTGAACTGTAAATGTACAACGTTTTATTCAGTGTTTTCATAACAGCCTAATTTTATGCATTTAGTACTACTAGGGAGAACACACATGAGGTTTATGGACTGTACAACTTTTGCCCTCCACAATGGCTAAAAATAAAAACAGGTATCACTTTAGCCAGGTAGGTGGTATTGTGAGCACAAACATAACTTTGTCATTTTTAATTCCAATTTTAATCAAGTCTTGAAAAGGAAAAGTGTTGTGGTGTTGCTGTCAGATCGTCCTGTGATTGTTCTGTTTGTCACTCCCGTCTCCACTCATGTTTCTAATTTCTGCTTTATGTCAAGGTCCAGTGTGATCATGTCTGTTTCCTCTAACCTCCTCCGTGTCTGTCTTTGTCTCCTTTTCTCTGGCTGATCTCAGAATAAGGAGGGGTCATATCTGGGCCCCTATTATGTAGTAAGTAGTAGCTTCTATAGTCTGCTTGCTCAGCCAACGCTGCACAAATCACCAATGCATAGTCAGCATGTCTGAGTGCTGACTATCAGTTTTCAGCTTCAGTGTATTCCAGTGACGTAAAAGTGCAACATTTAATTGTAATGATACAGGTTTAGCACAAATCGCTAAAGAAAAGCATCCTGCTACAACAAACTGCATCTGAATCCATGGAGGCAAATGTCTAAATTACTGAGAATAAACAGTGCATGTGAGCAAACTGCTTGTGTTTCCTCCTAAAAGCATCACATCTCTTATACTCTGTCCGCTGTGTTCTCTCTTGCATGTGCAGTATGGATAAAAATGGAACAATGACCATTGACTGGAATGAGTGGCGGGACTACCACCTCCTGCATCCAGCTGACAACATCCCTGAGATTATTCTTTATTGGAAACACTCCTCGGTACACACTCCTCCTCTCCATCCTGTAGCAACACAACAATCACAAAGCAAATCACGTGATTTCCACTTGTTTTTAATTGTGTACATATTGTATGTGATGGGCATGTTGACGTTTTGATTAATTTTAAATTATTGAAAAAATAACCAAGGAATGTTCAAATGAAAAAAATTGCCAGTTTAATAATAGGATAGTTTATATCTAGGATATGTGGAAAATTTAAGTAATAGAGACACTAATCCCACTTGAATAAGGGTTTTTCTCTTTTGCTTGACTGGTATTTTCTCATGGTGTTTCCCTGTCAATGCTGTAACTTATGTGTCCAGGCTAAAAACGGCTGCTTCCTCCACAGATCTTTGATGTAGGGGAGAGTCTGATGGTTCCTGATGAGTTCACAGCAGAGGAGAAGAAAATGGGTATGCTATGGCGACACCTAGTGGCTGGAGGAGGGGCTGGTGCAGTGTCTCGAACTTGCACAGCACCACTGGACCGTCTGAAAGTTCTCATGCAGGTAAAACACAACTATTGCAGTTTTCATTTTTCTCAGTTAAAGGAGAAGACGGCTAATAAGCATTTCATCGCACTCGCCCAGGTTCACTCCTCCAAGAGCAACAGTATGCGCATCGCTGGTGGCTTTTCTCAGATGATCCGAGAGGGTGGTGTAAGGTCTCTGTGGCGAGGCAACGGGATCAACGTCCTCAAAATTGCCCCTGAGTCTGCAATAAAGTTTGTGGCTTATGAACAGGTACACAAAACCAAGCGTTAATGGAATATGAAAGATAAAAATTATGTAATTTGTATTTTTTTGCATAGCTCATAGCAGAGTGAATTTGTTTGGTCTGACTTTTATGTTGCTGCTAAACAACACTGACATCTGTCCATCAGATTAAGCGACTGATGGGAAGTAACCAGGAGACGTTGGGCATCACAGAGAGACTGTTGGCCGGCTCTCTGGCTGGAGCGATCGCTCAGAGCAGCATATACCCCATGGAGGTGAGAGAACAATGAACACAAAAAATAAAGCAAGACATCAGTTTAACAATAGCTGTAGCTAGGCAGCAACTTATAACTTACTGTATGCTGAAATACACTGGACTGCTCTGCCATGGAAGCTCCTGGTGCTGTTTTTGTTCTTCCAGAAGAGGTTTGGAAATGTGGTTCCTCATTCGGAGTGTTGGTGACACTCTGCAGCCACATTCTGGAACTTTACATGGTCTGACTTATTTGTTGTAGTTCCTAAACACTTCCAGGTTTCAACAATACCACTTACTCTTGATCTAGAAGGGAAGAAATTTCAACTAACTCATTCCAACACTGGCATCCTGTTATTTCAGTCAACTCTTTATCTTTCACAAATTCTTTGTAAAGGCAAATTGCACAGTCAGTTCCTTGGCTTTATGCATCTGCAATGGGGCTCAAAACGCCTGAAATTAAAGATTACGATGTGTGGCCCAATAGTTTCATCCACATAGCGTGTCTCAGAACCTCCTTGTCTTGTGACTGATGACCTTCAGTGTGAATATGTGGTATATGGGAATGAGGTTCATAACATGAATTTGAAAAATGTTAATTTTATTTTTCCTCCGGCTTGTTATGTTATTGTAAGTACAACTGATTCCTGGGTGAGAAGTGCAGATTTTCTGTTTTTTACAAGGTGTGGCATTACTTCCTGTGCATTCAGGTCCTGAAGACACGGTTAGCCCTGAGGAAGACGGGTCAATACTCGGGCCTCCAAGATTGTGCTAAACATATCTTCCAGAGGGAAGGCGTGGCAGCTTTCTACAAGGGCTACATCCCAAACATGCTGGGCATCATTCCCTATGCTGGCATCGACCTGGCTGTGTATGAGGTTTGCTACTATTGCTGGGTGATAGTTTTTTGTTTTTTTGTTTTTTGGGGGGGGGGTTATTAGTTAAGTCTAATCTCTGTGTTCACCTCTCCTCTGACAGACTCTGAAGAATTCGTGGTTGCAGAACTACGCTACAGATAGTGCTGATCCAGGAGTGTTTGTGCTACTCGCTTGTGGCACTACTTCCAGCACATGTGGACAGTTGGCCAGCTACCCACTCGCTCTGGTCAGGACTCGAATGCAGGCACAAGGTCAGTCACTGGAGAGCTCAACAGCACTGCATAAGACAACAAAGATATATACACACACACATGCACACACAACTTTGTACAGCTGTTTTGAAGAGGGTCCACATGGTTATTATACCAGGTTTAATGCTGTAAAGTTGGAGGTTTTAAAGTGAGAGTCTATGGGGATTGGCAGCCTAAGGTTAAGGCCTAAGGCTGCTACAAGAACTGTTGGGTTTTTGCGATTAACGATGATTTGTGAATGATTAAAGTTTTCTTCTCATAGCATATTATTAAAAATATTACCCCAAATCTTTTAATTTTTGTATTCATCATCCCCTCTGAATGCAATGTTTTGTTCTCCATTTGTATTTATTCAACGTACACAACTTAACAGTCACCAAAATTTTTATCCATAGCAGAATTTTGGAGCAGTTACCACTAAATGTAGAATAAAGAATTTGTAAAAGTGCTGTAGGCACATATTCAGGATTTATTGATACAAATACTGGTTTGAGGTATAAAGGACAAAAGTAAAAAGATGTGTTTGATGTGTTGTTTGATGGCATCATCTTCCCTTTGATCCTACAGCTTCTCTGGGAGGAGGTCCTCAGATGAACATGACAGGACTGTTCAGACACATTATTAGGACTGAGGGAGCAATAGGACTCTACCGAGGCCTGGCACCCAACTTCATGAAGGTCATCCCATCTGTCAGCATCAGCTACGTGGTCTACGAGTACCTGAAGATCACGCTGGGAGTCCAGTCAAAGTGACCAGGCAGGCAGACAGAAGAAAATAAGTGGCCAAAGGTTTTTTTGTTTGTTTGTTTGTGGTCTGAAATGACCAGCTACAGTTCAACATATTTTAGTGCAGAAAATGAAGGACAAGGCTGAGATGTGTGATTTGAAGAGAGAAAAAACTTGACTGAAGTCATGTCTGTCAGTTGTTCTCTTAAGCTTTCTTTTAGCAGCTCGGTGGTGTTTCAGCACCTGTGAGTCTTAGTTTAACAAGTGTTTACATGACTCTGAATTACTGCTAGAACTGGAACATGTCCCTGCTGCTGAGTACTGTGAAAGGAACAGTCCTGCGTCTCTGTGGAAAGGAAGAATCTTGATCCTGGTGGGCTTTGCTCAGTCATGACACTATATCATCATATTGCTGTCAGCATATGATATCATACACTATCAGCTTTGTCTGTGAAGCTGTAACTGGATTTAAAACGGTAGATAAATGGTCGATTTGGCTGCATTAAAACGGAGATGATACAAACAAGAGAAACTGGTTCACTTTAAGCTAAAATCATTATATAATGAAATAAAGGATTAACGTGATCTAAAGTGATTAGGGCCATTCTGGCAAATACTAATTACAGAACCAAGGGAAGTGTTCACTATCCCTGAGATTAAAGTAATAAGTATTAAAATAGGCTTAAAATAGTTATTATCGATGTCCTATGAAAAGTTATTGCTGCAAATCGAGGAAACCAACTCAGACAGTGAAACCAGCCGCTGCGACTTGAGCCGTTGGTTAGTGAAGTCTCATTCTGATCCCTGAGCTGAGAGTAATTTTTTTCCATTGGCATCTTGGTGTTTTGAAACTTAGAACAATCGTTATTTACAAGGTAAGGTAGACTTCATGTTGCGTTCAATATGACCTGAAGCCCATAAAGGAAAGTGTTCACTGGGGTCACATAAAAAGGGTGCTGAAGGCCGTTTTCCCAAAGACCTGTAAATAACCACAAGTCTTTGCAGCCAGAAGAATGAAGGAAAAGGCATTAAAAAGAAAGCAGGTTTAAGGCACTTTAGCACTGACTTCACTTTTCAGACCTAGAAGCTGTGTCCATATGTCACCCCCACAGTATCTTTTGTATGATTGATGTGGTTTCTTGACAACAAAGAGGGGAAAAAACAGACCATAATTTGGTCTGATTATTTTTGATGTGTGTACATTTTTTTCTTTCTTTCTTTACCACTACAATCATTGAGAATATCCAAGTTTTTTTTTTCTTGCATACTTGTCAGTCCAGGTTTTTTCCATTTAAAATCATTATCCACTGTCATTTACGTCTGCTTTTTGTTTTTTAAACGTAGAATGGCCCTAATAAGGACTCTCATATAAGTTTGCAGAGGAATTTCACAGAAAAATAGGAAAAAAAGGCAATGAAACAATAACAGAACGATCATCTAGGGACTTGTCGACACGCTGGACAAAGAGCTCTGTTACATTCAGTCTATGGTCATAAACAGTGAGATGGAATCGTTTGTTTTTTGTATTCAGTTTTGTTTTAATTTCGGCAGATACAACATGATCTGACCATAACAGACGTATTGTGCAGAATTCTGTTCTGAGAGAAAGAAGGTCACCACAGCAAACAAAACAGTGCTACAGGGAGAGTCACTGACCCAAGAAATTAGCATTGTTGAGCCACAAAGTAGTAATGCCCATGCAGTGAAAAGGTTTGCACTCATAATGCAAATCCAAAGCAACAGACACCTCTGCATTAGTTTTTCAAATTGAAAAATGCTTAAAGCAAAAACTTTGACTTCCTCTCAGCTGAAGTTGAAACTGAATGTTGTGTTATCACACTGATCTTATTTTGCTAACATGTCCCAGAGCGCTGTTTGGTTTCTCAAAAGCTTCACCTCTCAAAACTGTAATGGAAATTGATAATTATAAATGAAAGCCACGTTTCCATTTTTATATAAACACTCCATAAAATAAGTGGTACGGCGCCCAGGCGGCACTCTCCACCTGACTGATGTCTGTATTATATGATCATCTCAAGAGTGCCTTGTGTTACACGCATAAATCCACCTGAACACTATAGGATAGCATTCCTTTTTTACTTTAAATGTATTTACTACTGTATTCATTTATTTATTTTTACAGAGAAGTCAAGATGATTGACTGAAACAGTGTGAAAATGTTATTTAGTGCTTTTGCTGTTTTCACAGTACTCATGATAATGGTGGCAGAATTTTTATTTTTGGCTTTAACAGACCTTCAGTTATACAGAAGCCCAAAATGTTTCAAATGTAAACAGTGAATCAAATTGGATAAATGCTAAATTGTTTAAAATATATATGTTATAAATCTGTATATTCAGTTTTCTATAAGTACATGCAATTTTTGCTTCGTATTATTCTTTTATTTTGTCAATTAAGTCAGTGACATCAATCCTGTCAACATACAGAAAAACAGCAATGAAAACATTTCTCTCTCCTTGGCAATAATGAGTAAAGCCGAGGAAGTGACTGAATTAACCCACTGAGATTAGCTCCTGCTGTACTGGTTCTTAATGTAAGTGTTAAAGATATTGCGTGAGGTTTGAAAGAGAACAAGTTCAAATCTCTGTACAGATGATAGGTTGTAAAATAACACAAGCACCTACCTAACTATAGGCTATACTGGTAATTTAGAGGGTTGCATCCCTGGCTATGTAGCTAAATAAGTATGAAGATGATACTGAGTCTATATTTATTTATAGCAGCATCTACATAGACGTGCTAAAGGGCACTAATTGCACTTGCTAACTAATGGATAGGCAAAAGGGCAAGGAGCAAAAAAAAAAAAGTCAAAGAACGTACAAATTCCACTATTATATAAAATGTTTGAAACAAACAGGGAAGAATGCTAAATAAAAACGTTTTAACATGTTTAACAATTTAGTTTTTAAACCTGTTTGTTATAAGTCTTCAAATGTATGTAATGTTGAATATGTTGGGCCTGACAACATAGAATTCATATCTGTGTGTATCATTGTTAGGATGATAAAACACTACTAACCCTACAAAAACATGACTTCAGCTTGGAAGCGAGAGAGATGCAGTGTGGACAGGTGTTCATCGTACTGATTCAAGTGTGTGTGTGCATAGTACTAGAATAAACATGAAGAAGCCAGTAGCCCTGATGTATAAAGCAACGTGCTAAACAATTTGTGTGTTTCTCTGGTAGAGCTGCAGTCCCACACACTGGACTGTCTGGTTGTGATCTTCAGAATGTGGGCTGCTCTCGGGAGCTGATTTACTCCAGCAACATGTCTGCTCAAGTCATCACTTTCTAGCAGATTATGGGCCTACACTTGCTTATAACAGCAAAAAAGTGAACGGATGACATTTACTTTATTCTTAATGTCAGTGTCTGACCGTTTCATGCCTTTATTTCTGGCACGACTGGTGTGTTTCGCACTCCTTGCTCAGTTATTGCATATCATGCATAAGGCGGTGACACAGAATGTCATTGTGCGGCTGTGTGTAAATGTTTTCTGTATTTGTACAGTGAAAGGTAATGCTGCAGTGTCTTAAAAGTAACCATGTGTTGGCTGTATGCTGTACTGACCAACAGCCAATTAGGCAGACCCAGTGGAAGTGCTACCTATACAAACTAAAGGCTACGCTATTCATAAATGGTGGCCTAGTTTACAAAATATATACACTTTATATATATATTTGTATTTTATTTTATTATGCTAGCTGTAAGTGAATGAGTATGTGAGTACATGTATAGTAGTTTTCTGTTTGAAGCCCCTGCCACTCAAACCCCCCTCCGTGTCTTAACGCGTTACTCGTGCACCAAATGTGTATTTTACCTCGTCTTTCCCACTCTTCTAGAGAGTCTCTCCCACTTTTCTTCACGCTACCGATGAACTCAGGGGGGATCGGCTCTATGTGCTGATCCAAACTGTCAGGCGGGGAGGCTGCAGCCTTCGCGGCCCCTTCACAGTGATCCTTCAGCCCTTTCAGGTCCAGCTGAGCCAGCTCCTCGAGGAAAACATCCCGCTCCTCCTCACACAGCTCCGGCCAAAACTGCAGGACGTGCGCCTGCCCTGCGCTCTCCACCCTGCTTCCGGCCAAGGAAATCAGTCCGGGCAGGACGTGGCGCCCTGCCAGCTGCGCGTCGTGCGCAAACGCCGCCTTTACTTGCTAAAACAAGGGCGATTTTTGCGTATTTAGTCCGAAGCAAGGGTGATTTATGAGATGTTCAATGGGAGTACGTATGCGTCCCGAGCTTGTTCTGCCCCGTGCGCCAGTATTGTGCGGAGCAGGCACAGAAACAACGCTGCTCCGGAGGAGTGGCTGGAAGTGTCGGGAAAACACCGTCCGTGACTGGCAGGTCTCAGAGAAAGTCGGTCTCTCCTCCGATCAGGCAGCAGAAACACGCTGCTCCGGAGGACGTGGCTGAATGTCAGGAAAAACTCGTGACTGCAGCTCTCAGGAATCCTGTCATACAGGATACACTGTAGAAGGCAAGTCAAAAACGTCTTTATGCACTTCCATGTTTACAGAAGTCAAAACGTGTTTACTGCTTCCTGTCAGTCAGACCACGCCACGAGACCAAAGGCCACGACAGCAAATTTACGACAAAGCTGTTAAGTCAGCGTCTGATCACCTGACTGCACACTGTGGTTAAAGCCGCACCCACTGAAAAAAACAACAGAAAAACCCGATCAGACTAAAGTTGTTTGGTAGTGTAACTGGGCATTACGGTAAAGGGAGGAACTAATTTGGTTCAGTTCATAGATAGTTAAATATAACATCCAAAGGTTTGGACACACTTTCTCATTTCACGGTTTTTCTTTCTTTATTTTTTTTTTACTACTTTCTACATTGTAGATACAAACTAAAGACATCAAATATATGAAGCAAGATATATGGAATTATGCATAAAAGAAACAACTGATAAATAAATACGTTTTATATTTAAATTCCTCAAAGTAGCCGCCCTTTGTTTTGTTGCCAGCGCTGCAAACCCTCGGTCTTCTCTCACTGAGCTTCATGATGGAGTCACCTGAAATGGTTTTCACTTCACAGGTGTGCCTGTCAGGTTTAATTTGTGGAATTTCTTGTCTTCTTAGTGGGGCTGGGACCATCAGTTGTGCTGGGCAGAAATCAGGTTGGTACACAGCTGACAGACCTATTTGACAACTGTTAAAATTTATATTATGGCAAGAACCAATCAGCTAAGTAAAGGGAAACAACAGTCCATCATCACTTTAAGAACTGAAAGTCAGTGAGATGGAAAATTGCTAACACTTTGAATGTGTCTCCAAGTGCAGTGGTAAAAACCCATCAAGTGCTATGACGAAACTGGCTCACATGACCAAGAGTCACCTCTGCTGCTGAGGATAAATTCATCTAAGTCACCAGACCAGAAATCCCAAGTTGAAAGCACCTCAGATTAGTTTTTTAATGTCTGAGTGAAAGTGAAATTGTTTTGCGGCAGGTGCTTCTTATTTTGAAAGTCTTCTCTTACTGTCACTAGGCGTTAAGCTTCCTTTGAGTCAAACACAGCGAGTGAGGATATGTTAACCCTACCTCAGAGTCGGAGTGAAAAGTCACATATTTAACTTAAAAACCCAGAAGTCATGGCTTTGATGAAAATTTGGTGAAGGACATGGAAATGGGGACGACGGTTACATATTATGTACTAGTTATAATATAAATGATCAAAATGTGTGCTAATACATGCTTGTCCAATTACATCCCAATGTTTGGACACTCATTACATCAAACGGTGCACTGCATCCTGATGTTTTGATCAAATCCCTCATGGAAAACACAAAGGCCAGTTTTCTTTGTGGATTGACTGACACTTTTGTATTTGTTCAACAATAACATTCGTCTTCACAATTACAAATTGCCAAACAATTATGCACGGACGTCTTCCACTGCTGGAGCTTGATGTGACAAATTCATTTTGCAGTTTCATATTTACAGGAGCTTAGGATGTCTATGTTTTAAGTTTCCAAAAAAAGACAAACAGTCAGTCATGAACTAGTTTATTTAACAGCTGAACTCATTAAAGTCTGTTTTTGCCTCTGTCAGGATTTGCAGAAGAAGGGGTGATTTCGTGACCTAACAGCCAGATGTGCTCAGTAAGTAGACAGTTTCATTAATATGTTGTGTTTCTTAGACATTCAAGTTAAAATACTTTATTATCTAAGTGACTGTATCAGTCAGTAAAACACCCTCCCTCATGGGTCTCTATGGGGGGTGAGGTTAACCCAAGGTAGTAAGTAACTCAACAGGCATTCACTCATCCACACGTCTCCCCATCATTCACACACATGTATTCTGGATTATCAAAAGACAAAATAGATGAAAGTGGTTTATTTTTGATATTCTTTTATTTTTTGTGGATCAATTTCTTTTTTCTTTTAGAAATTGTCCCCCCAGGAAACAACATCACATTGTAGGTTATCAAAGTGACATTTGGATATGATCATAATTACTAACAATTCAAAATTAAAAAACAAAACAAAAAAAACATACTGAGCAGTCTTTGCCACAGTCCTGGCACACACCTCTAAGCTGCAGTCCACTGTTTTGGAATGTCAAAAAACTCTCTAAATGACAAAAAAAAAAAGCTATTGAGCTTGCAACTTTTTGGTCTGCTTTTCATCCAGAACAAAGGGAGTATGAATTGTCCTCCCTTTCAGCAGCTGCTCCAGACCCTGACAGAGGAGATGAGGCAGGAGTTAAGTCATGAGCAAAACTAAAAAATTATTTAGTGAGTACTTTTTGTCCACAGTGTATCTATAATACAAGAAAGAATCGCTGTCTCTAAGTCCTGGGTTCCACAATTTAACACACTG